AGCGATGACTCATCTGAACGCCTCTGATTGGCCATTGCATTCATAAGCTCAACAGAATCGTGTGTGATTGGTTATAATGCGCGTCTGGCTCCGCACCAGCTAAAACGCGAATGCAGATTTGAATTTGGCAGCTGATGTTGTGCTACACTGAACGTTCTAATGACACTGGTGTGATCGTATTAAATATAAAATAAATATTATTCTGCCATTTTTGGTCTTTTGGAAGCTGCATTCAAAATCCACTTTGCTTAAAATCCTGAGGGGGCATGGTTGAAATCGCGTTCCAGGAGGAGCAGTATTTCGGCAGGGCCCCCCTCTGGTCTAGTGCCCTGGGCACATGCCCGGTAGGCCCGTGCGTTAATCCATCCCTGCACAGGTCACTACAGTTGAAGAAGCATGTCTTTCCATTTCACGCTTCCAAAGTCCTGCATACAGCGGGCATCTGGCTGGCAGACTCCTCTGGTGACCTACATTAGGACTTACATGGTTACACATAGTCAGTTCTGCTTTCACATCAGCAGGATTCCTGAATGTGCTGACATTACATGGGTTTTTATTGAATTTGCTTCACACATTGAACTGTAATGGAATCAACCTCACTTCAAGGCACCATTTAATCTCAGACATTAGTATTGCAAATAAATGCAAGAAACCTGGATGAACCTCATCTCCAATCACAAGGTCATTGGTTTGCCTGTTCCTTTACTTTTTATTTCATGTTAGAAGCTTTTATTTTCTGTTCATTATTGGAATAAAACTATAGTTTTTACTTCTGTCTTTATAGTAAGCTGTCATTCATGTCCCCTAACCAAACAATGCGAGACAAGTTAAATTCTTTAATACTTATTTAGACAGGGTGGGTTACATCCTGACCAAAGCATAAGAAATAGTAATAGTGATTATTTTATATGCTAAATTACTGGATATCATTTCTGTATTCACTGGTGTCTTCAGGTAAACAACACTTGTTTTAATGTGTGCAGATAGTGGAGGCTCCTGTAAAAGTGTGGTTGTGGATTTTTTTAAACTTTCGAATAAGTCTCAATTTCTCTCTATTTCCCTTCAGCCTCCTCTTGTTCTTGCTGTCATGTTGTTGCCCCTCTCATATTTGTTTCTAGCTCAGTCTTTCCCACATTCTTCATATAAACCCTGTAAACGTGAATTGATTACATTGAAAATAGCTGTGTAGGGATAATAAGCAAAAAAAAAGGTACATTAAGTGGCATTTATGTTTTATGCAAGTCAAACATGATAAAATGCATGTATAACATTTTTTAATATAATATAATATAATATAATATAACATAATATAATATAATATAATATAATGAAATAATATGACCACTGTAAAAAAAATAATAATAATAATATGACCACTGTAATATCTTTTGGCATTTTTGGTTCTCAGGTAAAATTTGCTTTAAGAACGCTGAAGGTATTTTCTAGAAAACTAGACTGAGATTGAGACAACTTTTTTTTTT